CAAATTATAGTACAGATCTCCAATTGTATATCAGGCTGGGAGAATCTTCTTATTTGACACTGGCTGAATAGTGCCATCTCTGAGGATGACGGAGCCGAAATACGTAAACTGATCAACCTCCAAAGCGCTTCATCACTCTGTTCCATTTATAATTTACTTGAGTCGTATGGGTTCCTCATAACTTTTAACTTCCGGACGTTAAGGAAGAAACTGGCTTTCGTAGATGGACACAGGAGCCACCAGGTAACAGAGCTATGTCAGCGTATTACTCAAAAGAGCATTGTCATCTGCGAACTACAGGTCAGCAGGATATCTAGCTATGTATGATCCCGGTGATAACCACTGATGTGGTAACCGAACTCTAAGGAAGGCATACTCGAGGCGGCGGCGGAATGCTGTGGAGTTAAACGGATTGGTCTGCCTGCCGCCAAGGGTGAGGAACGAACTTCCTGGGGGACACGAGAGGTACAACTGGCAGTTAAAGAGAAGGCAGCATTCAAGAAAAGGCTGGAAAACAAAGAACCTTCTACTCGCGTGCGATATGTCGAAGCACGCAAAGCGGCATTGAAAGCAGTGGCGAAAGACAAAGCTGATTCCTGGGAGAAGTTTGGACAGTGTTAGAGCCGAGTTTCCACACGGCAAACAACTATTCTGGCAGACCTCTCGAAGGCTCCGAGGTAAAAAGACGGGCAGTCTAACAACCTTGAAGGACAGGTCTGGACACCTACACACCGAGGATAAGGATATCCTTTGGCTTGAAAGAGTTATTTCAGGAACTCCTTAATCCCGAGCAACTGCAGGAAGACTCGCCTGTAAAGCAGCAAGGAATGGATATTGCTATTTCTGATGAAATTACACAAGCTGTGAAAAAGTTAAAAAATGGAAAGGCTGCTGGAATTGACGAAATCCGCCCTGAGATGCTCAAGGCATTAGGCGAACTAGGCATGTGCTTGCTTACACGTGACTGTCAAACTGCGATGACTGCGGGAAAGATAGCAGCGGACTGGAGAACGGGAGTTGTTGTATCGTCCATTCAAGAAGGGAGACCACAGGGAGTGCTCCAATTATCATGATATTGAGCCTTCCAGGTAAAGTCTACGCAAAGGTGCTAGAAAGGAGGTGCCGCGGAAGAAATGACTATGACTCCAAGATATAGGTAAAGCAGCGTTGCTTCCGGCCCGATCGAAGCACCTCTGACCATATATTTGCGCTGAGCCGGCTTGTTGAGAAATCGTAAGTGTTCATCCATCCGGTGCATATGTGCTTTGATGACCTAAAAAAATGTATGACCAAATCACTTGCAACAGTCTGTGGTCATGCCTGCGAGCATACGGGATAGATAGCCAGCTGCTACGGGCCATCCAATCACTGTATTCTAATAGCAAGTGCTGCGTCAGAGTAAATGGCGTTAAGTCGCAACGTTTCAGCGTTGGCACTGGTCTCCGCGGAGGCTGCGTCCTGATCCCTTTAACGTTAAAGCCTAACGTATTCGACTTAACGCCATTTATTCTGGTGCACTACCCATTATCGGCATAAATTGCATGGTCCGTAGCAACTGGACATCGATGCCGTACGTTCGCAGGCATATCGCTAGATTATTGCGCCAGATCCGATCGTAGTCTTTTCCATATCCACAAAGCACATAAAGACCGGATGAGCGAACTCTGAGGATTTCTCAACCATCTGGCGTAGGACGAATATCTCGTCAGATGTGTTTCGGCCGAGTCGGAAGCCACACTTCTCTTCTTGTATCTTGGAGTCAGTTATTACGCGGCACCTCTTTTCTAGCACCTTAGTGCAGCTTTACCGGGGAGGCTCAACAGGGTAATGTTCCAATATGCGGGGCACTCCCTGTGGTCTCCCTTC